GAAGTAATACCTATATAAAAGTTGGTAGCACTGTGAGGTACCTTGTCAGATGAAGAATGAGTAACTGAATAACTGAATAACTAAATAAACGAAGCTGTTACTAAAGCTTCAGCATCGTCGCTCGGATCCACACGATGAACAAGTATAAAGCAAACTGAGTCAGAATCTACAGTGACAACAGAATCTCGTGTTGATCATGTGAGGCGGATGTTTGGTTGCTTGTGTTCGGTGACTCGTTCTCTATAACCCGGGTTACACGCTTCACCGTGCCGCTGTACCCAGCCGTGCTAATGTTAGCTTAGCTGTTAGCCGTAGCTAAGCTAACGGAAGAAGAAGCAGAAAATCTCACATCTGAGCCACAACTTTCTGTCTGAACTGCGGACTCCTCCAGTCACTGTCCGGCCCCGTCACCTCCATCTTCTCTCTTCTTTCTTCTCCACAGACCTGCGGACTCTGCGCTTCCTTCCGCTCTCGGTAAGATGGCGGCTGACAGCGCCGCCTGCAGGACGTCTGCTTCCCTCGTTTTCTTCTTCTTTGGGGTTTTATTGGCGGCTGGCAAACAACGACTTGGTGCAGTACCGCCACCAGCTGGTCGTTGTATTATCGAGCACAACAGACGAAACTTAAATTCTTGTTTATATTTATATAAAAAAGTATTCAGTCACACTTCCTGCTTCCTGTACTGTCAGAGGAAAGAAACCCGCCCCCACCCTCATTCTTCTTCTTCTTATTATTATTATTCCTCTTTTCATTATTCTGTCTATTCTTCTTCTTCTGTTGAAGTCCTCTTCCTCTTTGTGAACGTGTTGAGGACCACAGCGCCCCCTGCTGTGCCAGAGTCTGTGGATGTACCGTTGGTTAATCGAGTTGGAGTCAAAATAAAGAAATATTAGTCACAATATTCTGATTATTAGAGTAACGGTTATTTCACTGTTTTGTCTTTAACTGGATTAAATGAAATGTATTCAGATAAAAAACAGTTTCATTAACATTTGTTACTGGAACAACAGGAAACAGGAGGAGACCCAGGAGCAGGGTTCAGCCTCAGGAGGAGCTGATCACAGTCTGTAACAAGGACCGTTCTTTCTTCACACTCTTTTTAACCTAGTGACAGTTGTTTCTCAATCCTTTGGTATTTCTCCTCATCAATCGTTAATACAATTCAGTTTATGAGCTGTTCAATTATCGGAAATATGTGGAGGCTGATTACGAACACAGGTACGAGAGGCAGAGGAAAGTGATCCAGCTGCTGTTCAGCACATCATTTGTGTTCTCACAGACAGAACCTCCAGAACATGTGAGGACAGACGACTTATGTTTATATGTGTAAACAGCTCAAATGTTCAGATACTTACATTAACAATCTGGACCCGAGAATTTTGTTGCTGTTGATATTTTTGACCCAAAATCCCAACACTGGAATTCAGTATACTGAATAAATCCTGAATCACTTCAAATACTTGTGTGTAAGTTACTGTGTTTGTGTATTCAGACGTTCATTATCTACACTTCTTGTGGTTTCTTTGAATGTGAGATAAAAGAAAGGTTTAAAACAGTCGCTAAACTAATGTGAGGAGACATTTAGTGTCCAACACCTGTCAATAAAAAACTGATATAACGACGAGGACACTGTCTCGCTGATGTGTTCCTACATTTAAAGGTGTGAATGGTTACTGTACATAGTTATTATTACAAACTGTACAAAAAGAACTGTGAGAGAAGCTGCTGGAAACAGTCATGTATTTATACTGCACATGAAAAATAACTTCTATCATATTGTTATTTATATGAAAACGGCTCTAATACGTCTGATCTGATTTAAGGCTCTCACTTGTCCACAAACTTTTGGCCACGTGATGGCTGTATATTCATTAAGTCATGTGATGGCAGCTGGTGACGTCATCAGCTTGTTGACAGAGTGACGTCTTCATGAGGTTTTAAATAAAGGTTGATGATTTTTAATAATCGTGAATCAGAATCAAGAACATAAAGAAAAGATCGAAACAAGATAAACAATGAGACACTGAGCGTGTCGATGACGTCACAGGTGATATCATACGTGATTCAAAGGACGTCACCTTTCATCTGGGGCCCTCCTCATGTGTGGCCCCTGGTCTCCGCCTACTCTTCCCATCATGCCTCTCTCACTGTGTGCAGCAGCGGGCAGCTCCACGTGCTCGGCGATTTAAACAGAGGGAGGGGCGGGAAAGTGTGTCACTGCGGTCACGTTGTCCCGTTTTCTGCCGTGTGCGGGTATGGTGGCCCCCGCTCGCTAACATCATCATCATCATCATCCAACAGAGCGCGCAAGCTGTTTGAAAACATTGGGGTGAGACAGGCTCCACGTGCGACACACACTCTCACCTGGGCCCGCGCGTCTTCTTCTTCTTCTCATGGTGGATTTTGAAAACGCGTGTGTGCTTCTCTTGGAGCTCCGTGTGAACATGGTCGTCATGGAGACAAACAACAAATATATATATATATATACACACACACAATTTTTCTTCAGTCTAAGCCCCCCCCCCTAAACTTGAGTCAATCAGGAGATGTTTGTTTCACATGATTCCAAAAAAAACAAGAAACTCAAACTCACTCAAACTTTATTTACACATGAAAACTTTGACAGAGAAATCACAACAGGGCACATGACAAACCAACAACAACACCAGTCGACATCTAGTGGACACATGAAGAAATAAACAGCGTCCATCAGATGAGAGGACAAGTAGAGAGAAAGATTAACCAGTCACTGAGACGGAGGACACGTTTCTGAGGCTGAGAGAGAGAGAGAGAGAGACAGAACGAGAGGCAGGGAGAAAGACAGACGGGGGGGGGAGACACAGAACGAGAGGCAGGGAGAAAGACAGACAGAGAGGGGGAGGGAGGGAGAGAGAGAGAGAGAGAGAGAGACAGACAGTGAGGGAGGGAGAGAGAGACACACAGAAAGAGGAGCAGGGAGAAAGACAGACAGAGAGGGGAAGAGAGAGAGAGGGACAGAAAGAGAGGGAGGGAGGGAGGGAGAGAGACAGATTAGTTCAGTTTTACAGGTGTGGACTGTTTTTGTATCTTTGTGTTTTTGTATCTTTGTGTTTTTGTATCTTTGTGTTTTTGTATCTTGAGTCAGTGTGAACAAGAACAAATGTGAGACTTTCAGAATAAAAGTCTAATATAATTAGAGTCATGTGAAAGAAAGGAAATGTTTTACATGTGTGTTTGTGTGTATGCTGATGATCAGGTGTATGTTGGTGCCATGTTACCTTCAGTCCACACGTGTCCACAGGTCGTCCGTCCCTCCGCACCGACAACAGCTGAGCTTGTCCGTTGCTCGGGTAACCCTCCTCCACCT